ACATTTATTTTGTGACATTTAGGTAAATGTTGAAATGCATTTGTGTCATTTACTTTGCAGCATATATGTAAATGTTGGTAAGATTATTACGACATTTATTTTTTGAAATTTATGTGGATGGCCATAAAGAATATATGACATTTATTTTTGACTATTTAAGTAAATGTACGATATGAGATAGATGACTATTTTTTTTTGACATTTAAGTAAATGTCTATATGAGATATATGACATTTATTTTCGACATTTAGGTAATTGTCAGTATGAGATATATGACATTTATTTTTGACATTTAGGTAAATGTCGGTATGAGATATATATGACATTGAAGTAAATGTCGATATGAGATATATGACATTTATTTTTGACATTTATGTAAATGTCGGTATGAAATATATGACATTTATTTTTGACATTTAAGTAAATGTCGATATGAGATAGATGACATTTTTTTTTTGACATTTAAGTAAATGTCTATATGAGATATATGACATTTATTTTTTCGACATTTATGAAATGTCACTTAAACTTTCTGACATTTAGATTAAATGTTGGTAAAACAAATTTCAAGACACTTACTTGTGACATTTATAAAATGTCACATTGAAATTTCTGACACTTTAGTTAATGTCAACAAATGCTATTGTTGAATGTCATAAAAATTGGTGACATTATTTTATATTTTGCTAAATGTCATATTAATATTCCAATGTCACTGCCAAATTTCTTTAAACATCCCAGAAAAATCTATATATGATTTTTCCAAGACACATACATACAAACAATCCGTGCATTCAAAACTATCTTCTTCATGATAAGCAAGAAATATTATATAAAGAAAATATTTCCTAATATTATAATCAAATAATAAAATAGCAATATAATAAGTTTTCTGTAAAACTAAATAATGTCTAAACAAATTATCTTTTCTGTCTCAAGTAAAACTGAGATCTAACTAAATATAATAATCTCAACATAAAACCAACTAATTAACTCCTAATTCAAATGGAATTAAAATCTCCAATAAATTTGCAATAAATCTTTATGAAATCATCAATCCAAAAGTCGAGCATGTTGAAGTCGATACTTGACCTCAATTTCCTTAAAAATTCTGCACAAGAAATGCACATAAGAAAATTTATAACTATATAATAATAAAAATTAGATTCCCATTAACTAGAACAATTTGAGATATCAAAAATGACTAATTGAATTTTTCTAAAACCAAAAATATTAAGGAATTGATGCAAAAGCAATAATTATATATATGAAATTTTCCTCCTTGTGAAAGAAAAGAAAGATCTTGTAGTTTTTTTCAAACATACCTACTTCTTTTTATTTGTGCCAACTACGGTAGTTCCAGTCTTCTTGATCATGTTAGCCTGAGAAAAAACATTAAATTAATTATTTTGATACTTTACGAAATACAAAACTTAACATTTCATTGAATACGCAAGTGTGCCAATTTTTCCAGAAGTAAAAAAAAAAACAAAAAAAAAACATGATTGCTTCAACAAAGCAAACACATGGTGCTGGGACAAAGATACAAACATCTTTTTTGATGAAGTTTTGATGAAGTAAGAAGAATGTCATTAGCAAAGCATCAAGCAGATTCACAAATTACAAAAGAAAGAAATATCAGCTCCCAAAAAGGCAAAAAAAGCCATCTAAACAGCTAACATAAGGTGTTGGCATCTTTTTTGATGAAGTAAGAAGAATGTCATTAACAAAGCATCAAGCAAAAGCACATATTACAAAAGAAAGAAATATCAACTCCCAAAAAGGCAAAAAAAGCTATCTAAACAGCTTACAACAGAATCATGCATGTGTAATCTCTAGAACTAACCACCTCTTTCAGTCGCATGCAACAAGTTCATAGAACTGAATACATATTCCAGTACATTATTACCGACGTTTGCATTGGTACTACACGAGCTTCAAATATACTTGAACTAATCTTAAAAAAATATATTCGCACACATCAAACAATATAAGACCTCCAGAACAAGGTCCCAAATCTAATGTAAGAAGATCCAAACTGCACAAACATATCTATAATTCGTTCCAGTGATAACTTCACAACGACAGATTCAGTAACAACATTTAGAGAGTTCAGTGTCACATTTTCGTTGTTGCACATTATTAATAAATCAATATTCAGACTGGGTCTATTCAAACACCAAAAAACAAACCTGAAAATATTTGAACAAAACTACATCCAGAATTATCTGGTAATAAACAAATATTGAGGAATCATGCTATTTGCTTCGACTAATTTCCTAGACAAGGAAAAAAATAATCTGGATGGGTTCAAGGGAAACAGTGGATGTTATCTCATGGTTGTACTTGGGACTACAAGCTCTCAAACAATAATAGCTCTACATTTCTTACATCTCAAAGAAACATGGAAACTGTCTCAGAGATTGATTTTGCTCAGGAAAAAGACAACCATAGGTACACATCATCTATAAATTTGAGAAATACCGGTGTAGCTAAGTCAAAGAATCAAAAAGAAAGTAGGCAAAGGACAACAAAAGTCAATCAAAGAATTGTAATCGACCCTGAATGGAGCGACACCTTTAAAGTTGTAAAACAAATTGCTCTTCCAAAAGTTATGTCAGACCACAGACCTATACTTCTAGAAAATGGTGACTGGGAAGACAATCCTTCCTATTTTAAATTTGAAAACTTGTGGTTGCAAGAGGAAGGGTTCTTAGATAAAATTAAGGAATGGTGGCAGAACTACTCTATCAGGGGTAGTCCAGATTTTATTTTATCTCAGAAATTGAGGTGTCTTAAAAAAGATATCACCGACTGGAACAGAGAAATCTTTGGCAAGATGGAAACCAGAAAGAGCAAAGCACTGGATGAACTTATGGCTATTGAGCAGGCAATCGAAAATAGGCTCCCATCCCACGCAGAAAAAGAAAATATGATGGTCCTAACAATGGAACTACAACAGATCGCTAAGGCTGAAGAAGTGTCATGCAGGCAAAAATCCAGGTGTTTATGGCTTAAGGAGATATGGAATGGAGGGTAATAGCTTATGGAAGGAAGTGGTTGCAGCCAAGCATGGTGCACTAAACCACTGGTGTACTAAGCAAAGCAATTCTCCACACGGGGTAGGGGCATGGAAACATATACGCAAATATTGGGAAGATTTCGTTCAACAAATTTCATTCAAAGTTGGGAATGGCTTGAATGTGAAATTCTGGAAAGATAGGTGGCTTGGGAATTTAATTTTGTAAGAGCTTTACCCAATTCTCTTCCTAATAGCACGGGATCCTGACTCTACAGTTGCACTGAACAGAGAGGACAATCAATGGAATCTACTTTTCAGGAGAAACTTCAACGATTGGGAGCTTGGTAGTCTGTGTGAATTAATGGGTAGACTGGAAGGTTACAACATGAATCCACAAGCTCCGGATATCATCTGTTGGGGTCGTAAGGCAAAGGAATACACGGTAAAGAAGGGATATAAATTGTTGCATGCCCAGAATGATATTACAGATTTATGGCCATGGAAACTTATCTGGAAAACAAAGCTACCACCAAAGGTAATATGCTTCAGCTAGTTGGCATTAAAGAATGCTTGTTTGACACTGGACAATCTTTGTAGAAGAAACTTCCAGCTGGTCAGCAAGTGTTATTTATGTCAGGAAAGTGCATAATCAGTAAATCATCTTTTCTTGCATTGTGCGGTGGCTGCAGACATATGGCATATGCTCCTTTCCCTTTTCAGTTTGAACTGGGTGATGCCTCAAACTTTCAGAGAAGTTATTGTGAGTTGGGGCCACTAGAGAGTTGATAGGGCCATCAGGAACACCTGCAGAATGATTCCAGCAGGTATTTTTTGGTGCCTATGGACAGAAAGGAATCAGTAGTGTTTTGATGGAATTTCAACTTCTAACCATTCACTCAAAGCTAAATGTTTGTTCAGTCTATTTTGTTGGTCCAACCAGTCTTATGTTAATAGTTCTACTGCCTTTTTAGATTTTTTGGTATTTATAAAATTGAGGAAATGACTTGTGTTCTAGAAGTTCTACTCTAATGATTTTGGATATGTTGAGGCTGTATAATATCATAGTTTCTTTTCCATTTTGTGTCGTGCCTACAATTTTTAAATCAGATACATTTCTAGTGTCTCCTTGATAAATTAGCATCTCTTACATCTTTGCCTATGAATTCCAATGTCCTGATGTGTTTTTCCTTCATTTATCTTTACTGTGTTAGTATTGTGCAGCTGCCTGTATGGCGTGGGAATTGGTAGAGTCAGGAAAGCACTTCATTGCTACAATAATAAATGGTTCTGATCTGGTGCCTACATTTTCAACCGATTCTGTGTTACCAACCCCTATATCTCAAAATCCTCCCTCTATGCCTAATGTACTTGCAGGTATGGACAAAGAAGGAAATACAAAGGCCTCTAAGATCACAGGTATTGACTCAATGCTCCCATTACCCCTCACCCCTTTAGATAATTGTTTAACTCTGTGGAAGCTTTTGGAGTGTTGGATGGAGGGTTGAAGGAGATCATCACTAACTTGCAGAAGGGGTATCCAAAGGGGGGGGGGGTTTCGCATCATGATGTACATGAGAATTTACACACTGACCCTAAGAAAGGCCCTACATATTCTGCTACCACTTCTCATCAGACCACACAAGAGAACCAGCACAATCAGCTCATCCATCAGGGAAAGGTTTCTGGTCAGGGACACAGTAAACATAATGATCAACAGGGTAATCTTAATACTTCTCATAACACTCAGAAAAGGAATCAGAAAAAGAGTCAGAAAAAAGAATTTTCATTAGAGAGAATAGGAACAAAACATACAAGATAGTGGGGGTACAAACCAAGGGCAAACTATCAACAACAAATCTCAAGGCAAACTAAGCAAGAAGAAGAGAGATACCATCAAAAGAAGGTAACAACAAGCAGCAAGGACAGAAAAGAATAAGGAGCAAGAGGTACAGGTTCAAGTTGGTCAAAATGAACATAGCAACACCAGTAATACAGATTATGAAATGATGCATTCTGAGGATGAGTATGATCAGGACACAGTCTTTGGTGCAAGTTTTTCAATTTTGGAGGCTTAATGCATGAAAGAGTTGACTTTTGTCAACATCCTAAGATTCTGATGTCGGATCAAAATTCCGTCAGTTCCATCAGCTACGGATGGGTCCTTTGGTTTAGTGTGATGTTTGGTTCGGGTTTCGAGACTTCTGTTTGGAGTGTGTACGATTAGGCGTTTTAGCTTTTGTGGTGAAAACTAGAAATAATATGATAAATTAACACAGTTTATAATTTCACTATATCAACTGAAAAACAACAACAACAACAAGAACCAAAAGAAAAAGATGATCACTCAGACTGTTTATGTGTACATGACGCACAATTAACAGTTTGTCAATTAATCCATATTAAACAAGAAAGAGGAATTAGTTGATCTCGTGATCATATAAATGTTAGGATTTACGCAATTAAAATAAAATTCAAAATTTTAATGAAATTTTCTCTAACCTTTCTTGTGTGAACACCTGGAACAAGTAATGATGGTTGTTGAGAATCTTCAAGTGGGTTATCAGGAACCTATTGAAAAAGAGGAAGACTATTATAATTAAGAGAAACTAAGTTTGCATCTAAAAAAAAGTAATTTTTTGTGAGCAACACAATTATTTCACCTGCTTTGATTTTAAATTTGCATCAATATTAATTCCCAAAGACTCTACATATGCTTGTATTCCTTCCTTCACTTTATCCGCTATAATTTCTTCCATATCCATTTTTGCTTCCAATAATTTTCTCTCCATCACTTCGTTATTCTCTTTTGCTTCCTCTTTCGCTTCTAACAACTTTTTATCCATCGCTTCCATCTCTTTTTTTGCTTCATACATCTTCTCTGTCATCTCAATTTTCATAGCTGAGGTAGCTTTTTGAACTTCCATCTCAACCCTTGTATCAAAATCTCTTTTTTTTAACCCTTGAATCAAAATCTCTTTTTTCAGCCTGAGATCGTTTATATACGGGGCCATATACTAAGCTAGGAGATGCTCCTTTTCCTAGAGTTCGGACAATTCCATGAGTGTCTGATCCCATTACTTGGGCGTATACATCATTAGGAGCACTTCCAGGGACATTAAACTCAGGATACACCTCAACAAGGTCATCCATATGTTTCTTTTTGAAAGAAAGGTAAAGTAATGAGAAGTTTTTTAAAAAAATTGTAATAGAAAGAAGATACCTATATATTTTTAAAGAGTAAGAGTTTACCATAACTTCACCAGCTATCTCATTTACGGGTTGTTTATTCGCTCTAATGTGAGTTTTTTTGAACACCTCAATACGAGTTGGCTGTACACCATTATTCATCATTGTCATCTGTTTGAAAAGTAAGAGATTGACATTAAATATTCATGATAAGTATTATTTAATATATAAATTATAGAAAATAAATAGTGATTACTTCGTACATCGTCTATAATTTGAGAATGACTTTTTCTCCCTGATGTGTGTGGCATAGTCAATTTTTTTCGACTTTCTTTGTTTCTCTCACTCTTTTCCTAGAAATTTGAACACAACAATATATAAGAGGACATGCGCAATCTTGAATATATAAAAGAAATAGCCAAGAAGAAAATATAAAAAAGCAGCATAGTTTAGTTTCACAAAGTGCAATCAATTTCTATACAAGAACATTTTGTGCAGGTTGGCAAACTGGACATGTACAACAACATTATTTCTGCCAATTAGAAGAAAGGGACAAATAAAAAAGGACTTCTAGTTGTTCTACAATAAGAAGTATAATCAAGGAAAACACGACTTTAATAATTTATGACAACTTCTATGAAATTCTCATTTAGTAGAGCAAATGCAGAAATTGAAATCTAGCACATACCTTTGCTTCTTTTGAGCTCCAATAATGAACTAATGAACGCCACTGATCTTCTTCAACTCTATCTGGACAATGAGCTAAACGCTCAATATCAGTGTTATATGGGTCATATCCAATGGTTTTTGCTTCATGCTTTGATTCTTTCCATTTAGATCCAAATGACATCATCAGTATGCGCTTCATGTCATCAGTTGCGTCAGTATTTTCCTGTACATATATTTAATACACAACTCATTTATAAAATAAAATATAAAAACAAAAACATCTTAGTATATAGGTTTTGTGTATACTAAGAACCTTGATATGAGCCCATATTCTATCCTTGTACATACTAGGTACAAGCCTCCAATCTTTATGATTCAGTGGCGCTAAGATGCCATTTCGTGCTAGCACACCAAGTTTTGAACTCAATCTAGTTCCTTCTGACCCAATAACTTGACCATGTTCATTCAATTCATTATGTAAATTTCCACCATCTTTCCCCCATCCCGAGTGCATCATAGTGGGACCCCTAGTTCGCTTAGATTGCTCTTCACTCTCATTAGAATGTATAAATAATCAAAGATAAAAAGAGGCAAATTTATTATTTATATAAAAATTATGTAAGTACTTCATACAATGAAAGGCGAAATAAATATCATCAGATTTAATACCTGGAAGATTTTTTGTATCATGTGATTCATCTCCTTCATTTTGTGGCCAATTTTGGGACGGTTGAGGCATTGACATACTTCCGATTTGTTGTTTTTGTTGCTCAGAATCTATCAATAAGAAAAGATAAGAAAAGGCAAATTTATTATTTATATAAAAATTATCTAATTACTTTATACTATGGAAGGAAGAATAAATATCATGATATTTAATACCTGGAAGATTTTTTGTATCATGTGATTCATCTCCTTCATTTTGTGGCCAATTTTGGGACGGTTGAGGCATTGACATACTTCCGATTTGTTGTTTTTGTTGATTCGAAGAATCATAAAAAAGCTCACCTTGACTAGAATTTCTCTGTCTTTTTCTTGCCATTTCAACAAAGTTCCTCAGCAGCTATGAATCCTGCCAAATTTAAAGTAGTTAGACTATACAAAAGTATAAAATAATATCTAACTATGATGTCAAATAATAAGACATATAAACATATGAGATTTTAGCAGTTGAATGAAGAGTAAAAACATCAAAGTCATTATTGTTCAACAATCAATTGTACTGAAATAGTGATTATACTACTATAGTAACAAAAACTAAGATATGTTGTCATCTTCATCATATGCTTCATTACTTTCCAAAGTTTCTGGGTCAATTTCTAATCCTGGTACTCCTTCTCTAACCCATTCAATGTCTTCTTCAGTTTCAAATGTTGTGTCATCCAATTGTTGTTCAGGCCACAACTCCATATGTCCTTCCTTATGCTCAATTGTTGTTGTGTCTTCACCTAAATCATAAAAACCTCTTGGCTTAAGTTTAACAACCATTCGCCACTCCTTTTTCATAGGATGATCGACATAAAACACTTGTTGAGCTTGAGAAGCAAAGATGAATGGTTCATCTGATAACTGATGTCTTGTATAGAGTAGATGATTAAAATTCACAAGAGTAAATCCATAATCATCTTTCTCAATAAGCCCCTTGCTATTGTTCACCCATTTACATTTAAACAATACAAACTTGAGATTCTTGGAATAATATAACTCAATTATGTCTGTGAGGATTCCATAAAAAGAAACCTCTGCCAATATGGGATTTTTATCTTTTGTGCTTCCATAACTTTGAGTGATAGCCTTTAACATAATACCACTATTTTGAGTTTTTCTCTTAACATCACGAGACTCTGTTAAGTATCTAACTCCATCACATATATAGCCAGTCATTCTTTTTGCTTGTATTAATGGGTATCACTACGGAAGTAAAACACGTAACTATTTAATAAAAATTTGAAAGAAATTATTTAATAATTAATTACTAAGTATAAATTATGATTTAATACTTACTCACGATATGAAGTTGTGGAGGTAGAATTAAATAAAACATATCTGTGGGCTTGAGCACGTGTAATGTCATCAAGCTTAAATCCTTTCTCTCTACTTGATCGACGACCCTCTTGGTCCTTTGTTTCATTAGATAAAACATCATTTCTTAAAGGTGGATTAGACTTAGTCTCGACCTCATCTAAATACCATGAGCAAAACGTCATTAACTCGTCTATCCAACGTCCCTCTGCAATCGCACCTTCTGGATAACGTCTATTCCTTACGTAGTTTTTAAGACAAAGCAAGAACCTAAAATAGACAATTTTTAGAATACAAATACAATTTCTTGTAAGTATGATAAAAAAAATAACAAACTGATACCGTTCGATAAACCACATTGAGCGATATTATGAAGGTCCTCCCAACATTGCTTCTTCAGCTAAATGGATAAGTAGATGTTCCATGATATCAAAGAAAGATGGAGGAAATATTCTCTCCAAATGACATAGAGTTATTGCAACTCGATCTTGGAGTTTTTCTAAGTCACCTATCTTCAGATCTTTTGAACAAATGCCCCTAAAGAAATTACTTAATTCAATCATTGGCTTAAGTACATTCATCGGCAGGAGATTCCGCAAGGCAATAGGAAGGAGTTGTTGCATTAAAATATGGCAGTCATGACTCTTCAACCCCATGCATTGTGCGTTGCTTGAGATCAACACAACTTGAGATATTTGAAGCATATCCGTCTGGCACTTTCACATCTTTTAACACTTGTAAGAGGATGTCTTTTTGTGTGTTACTCAATGTGAAACATGCAGGAGGAAGATAATACTTTCCATTAGCCTTTTTCTTAGGATGCAAAGCTTTTCGGATCCCCATCTCCTGTAAATCTAAACGGGAATTTAAATTATCTTTTCCTTTTCCATCAACATTCAATAATGTCCAAAATATATTGTCAAAGACATTCTTTTCAATATGCATCGTATCAAGATTATGACGAATCATATTGCTTTCCAATATTCCAACTCAAAAATATGCTCTTTTTGTTCCATATATTTTGCACCAAATTATCAACATCATCCTATTTCCTTTTACGAGATTTGGCCAATAGATCTTTACCAAATTTATTTTTAATATTATTCAATTGCTTAAGAATCTCAATTCCTGTCAACCATTTAGGTGCTCCATCTAACTCCACAAGGCCATTGAATGCAACTTTATCTTTTCGAAACTTGTGTCCATGAGATAACCATCACCTATGAGACATGAAACAATATTTTCACCCATTTTTCAATCTTGTAAATTTAGTTTTGGTAAGACAACATGGACAAGCATATCTAGTTTTCACACCATATCCTGATAAGTTACCTAACGCTGGAAAATCACTAATTGTCCAAAGCAATGCTGCACGCATTTGAAACATGTGATTGTTTGATGTGTCATAAGTGGCAACACCAACCCACAATTCTTTTAACTCATCAACTAAGGGTTGTAGATAGACATCAATATCATTACCTGGTGCACGAGGACCATCAATAATAGTTGATAATATCATATATGGTTGTTTCATGCACAACCATGGTGGCAAATTATATGGAATCAAGATAACAGGCCATGTGCTATGTGAGATAGACATAGACTTAAATGGACTAAAGCCATCTGAAGCTATTCCAAGTCTAACATTTCGAGGATCTCGAGCAAAGTCTGTATGCGCTTCATCAAATTTCCTCCAAGCAATACTGTCTGCAGGATGTCGCATTACCCCATATCTAGTGCGACCTTCGGCATGGCATCTCATTTGAGTAGATGTTTTAGCCGACATAAATAGTCTTTGAAGTCGTGGTATTAATGGAAAATATCTAAACACCTTTTGATGGAATTTTTGATGTTTCTAAACTGGAATTAACTGATGCACCTTTGAACTGTTTGTATCTTGGAGCTTTGCAAAACTTACAAGATGTTCTATCTTTCGTCTCATTCCAATAAATCATACAATCATTTGGACATGCATGTATCTTTTTATATTCAAGTCCTAAATCTTTAATAATCTTCTTTGAATCATAAAGGACTTGGGTAATGTTTCACCTTCTGGAAGCACATCTTTTAACAACTCTAACAGCATGGAAAATGATTTGTTACTCCATCCATTGAGACACTTTAAGTGTAATAGACGAACAAGGAACGAAAGTAGTGAATACTTGCTTCCAGGATATAACTCACGTTCAGCTTCTTTCAGTAAGCTAAAGAATTCTTCAGTCTTCTTATCAAAACCCATGTTATGTTGATTTGACCCATCAAATCCTTTAGCACTAGTGTCCATATCAACAAAATTAGATGTAGGAGGAATTCCAAATGCTTCATGTAACATGTCTTGCATCTCATCACCTTTATCTAACTGACTGACCAATTTTGATGAAAATAACTCCTCACCATGATAAATCCAACTAGTGTAACTAGTTAGAAATCCATCAACCACAATATGTTCAACAATTAAATCTTTTCGAACAAATTTCATATTACGACACTTTCGACAGGGACACAATATTGTAGATGCATCTGGCCTATCTAATGATGCAAAATGAAGAAACTCTTTGGCTCCATTCTCATATAAGGGATCAAGCCTATTCAATATATTTATCCAACTTTTATCCATTAAGTATATAACCTATAACATATAGCAAACAAGAATTATACCCTCATACTATTAAAGACTAATACCTCCATACTATTAAAGAAATCAACAAAACACATACTAACCTGCAAAGTCCACACAAAGAATCCTGAAATTGATATCAATGTTCTTCCACTACGGTTGCTTTCTTTGTAATCTTCAAACTACAAATCAATAGTTAAATTTCAACAAATCAATATAATGTATAAAGGCTAGTCATGTGAAATTATCAGTACTTGAGGTAATATACTCACCTCAAGTAAATCAACTATTCAAAGAGAAGAGGAAGAGAGACAAAAGGTGAATTTATGGTCGAATTTGGAGAAAAATGAGACAAAGAGGCTTGGCGGGAAGTGATGAGTCATTGTGATGTTTTTGATGGAATGTGGGTGAAAGATGATGCTAACCCTATGTATGAACCTGGTTCTTGTCCTTTTATTGATGAGTCATTTGATTGTTATCAAAATGGAAGGCCTGATAATGGTTAACAGAACTTTAGATGGCAGCCTAAGCACTTTAATATTCCAAGATAATAATGCTACTTTTGTTATTTATTGCATATGCATTACTAGGTAGGGGCAGAGCCACAATATCGGCCTAACATAGTTGCCTTGGTTCAAATCCTGTATTTATCTTAAAATCTGCTATTGACAGGTTCAAACTGTGGAAATAACCTGCAAGATAATGCTGCATAGAATAAATCAAATATGGTCTGTCCATTCCTGGACCCTGCATATAGCATGAGTTGTGCACCAGTCTATCCTCTTTTAGTTTTATGCATTGCTAGGCTTAATTTTGGTAATGTTTTTTTTTTGTAAAATAGTATTACTTCACTTTTCAGGTTGAATGCCAAAGAAATATTGGAGCTTTTGAGAGGAAAGCGATTAGTCTATGTCGGTGACTCTCTGAAAAGGATATGTGGGAA